TGGTGACTTGGTTTTTCTTAAGTTATCTAGAGTTAGTTGTGTGGTTTTTACATGGCTTGTGTGTGTCCTATGGAAATTCACGTCCTTGGAAGCTGTTTCCAGGTGTGATGTTATTGACCTTAAAGGGTGGAGCCAAAGCTGGAGGTAGCTAGGTCAGCACAGGCACCACCATCTGAAGAGACTAGGGCGGGCCTTCAGTCAGAGTGTAGGTAGCTCTCCTGGAAGTAAGGCATGTACTCTGCCTCTTCTGTGAGTGCACAATCCTCTGGTGTTCTTTTCCTCCATCATATTGTGACCCAAGAAAAGGGGCTTTCAGGGGTTGAGTGCTAGAACTCCCCTTCTTTTATTTTTTAGACAGGTTCTCTTGTAGCTCAGGTTGGCCTTGAATTTGCTATATTGCTGAGGCTAACTTTGAACTGCTGATCCTTTTGCCTCTACCTGCAAGTACTGAAATTTCAGACTTGAGCTACCTCTGCCTTTGATCTTGGACTTTTATCCTCCAAAACTGTGATTAACACACTTTCTTCTCTTCTTCTTTATTACAGATTTGGCTTCCGGTATTCTATTATAACAAAGGAAATAGATTAATATTGTTTGGGTTTGTTTAATGTGCTGCATTCCTAAGGCAATGGATAGGTAGGTTCATTGGCATACAAAGAAATCTGGAGTGCATTTCCTATCTGGTCTCTGACACTTTTTGAGTTTTCCAGTAAACCTCTACAATTGTTGTAGAATGTGAAGGCTAGGTTATCCATTCAAATGGGGGAACTTATGGAATCAATAATTATTTTCAGAGTTTATGCATGATTAACAGATAGCTGTTAGAATAAGCCCAGCATTAGCCAGGCAGTCACACATGCCTGTGGTCATAGATATTCATGGGGGCTGAAGCCAGAAGATGGTTTGAGACCAAGAATTCAATACCAGCCTAGGTAATATAGAGATTGTCTTAAGTCACACAAAATAAAACTTAAAAGTCACTTATAAAAAAGTATCTTTCCTTCTTAATTTGATAATTTCCTCCCAAATTTTAATGTATTATTTTTCTGCTTTCTTTTGGTTTTTCGAGACAGGGTCTTTCTGTATAGCCCTGGCTATCCTGGAACTCACTCTGTAGACCAGGCTGGCCTTGAACTCAGAGATCCGCCTACCTCTGCCTCCCAAGTGCTGGGATTAAAGGCGTGCGCCACCACTGCCCAACCTTTTTTTTTTTTTTTTTTTTTTTTTAAGACAAGGTCTTACTCTATAACTAAGGAACTCATGGCAATCCTCCTGCCTGAGCCTTCTGAGATCTGGGATTTCAGGCCTGAGTCACCACAGCCCTCAGATGAACTCTTTGCAGTATGGTAGTATGGTATATTACATTCTTTCATACTGGCTCCAGAGAAAAGATACTGATAATTAAGTTCAGATTTTTTTTTCCTCAAGAAAAATATGACATCCACTCAAGACAAAAGTGCATACAGTAATCGGGAAATTTTTATTTTAAATTTCACAAATTAATGAAAGCCCTTCATAAGCCCAAGCAGGCACCACTTCCAGCTCTCCCAGCACACAGTTCCCAGCAAGTCTGTTTGCTTTGGCGCTGTCACGCCGTGTAGAGATTTTTGTCTCCACAGCTTGGCAAATTCACGGTAATGTAGAACCCACACATGCGGCTCAGTACAGGCTCTCTCACACGCTTCTTCATTCTCCCGTGTTGCCTGAGACTGGCAGCTGCTCCTTTATAAATGTTTGGAGAAAGGCGATGATGTGAACCTGGAGATGCAGACAACAGTTAGGAACCAGAATGCCAAGCACACAAGCACAGCAGAGTCCCAGCTGCCTTGTCTCACTTTCCTTGTGTCCACACCCGAAATCTGGAAACCTCACAGTTTCTAAGCATCCTATTCCAGAAAGTACAAGTTGCATATAGTTTGACCACCATGTAGTAGAAAAGGAGAAATGGTCCTGAAGATGTAACTCGGTTAGCAGTAAGTCTGCCCATTATTCAAGTGGCCTAGAGTTTGATTTATCAGTGCTACCTATCCTGGGCATGGAATTACATGAGTAGTTCCAGGAGTTGGGAGATAGAGGTAGGAGGACCACCCATCCTCCAGTCTCAGTTAAGCAAGAATACGTTATTGAATACACACCCCAAGACAGATCGCTCAGGGTTGCAGCATAGATTTGGGAGCCAGAGCCAGCTTATAAAGGAAAAAAAAGAAACACAATGAGTTCATGTACAGTGTGGCAGGGTGCTTGGCTGACTCAAGCTAATTGAGTCTAGATGGAACAGTTCTAACTGACCTTTATTCTGATTGGACCTAAATGGAGCTTATGGTTGTGGGACTTCTTAAGATTAACAAATCTCAAAACATATAGAACATAATAGGTTCAGCATGGCCCTGCTCTGAGCCAAGGTATTTTTTGCATTAATGACTGGCAGGCATGGAACAAAATGGCTTCAGTTATGCTAGTTGTGATTTTAAGCTAGGGACCAGGCTTCAGCTTGAGGAGCAGGCATCAACAGTCCACAAAGGTTCTAATGCCACTGTGCTGTCTTTGTGTTAAATTGACTAAAGATGAACAAGCAGGCTGTTGTCACCTGAGGAGCATGAAGATATTTGGTGGTTATGTTTTTGTTTGTTTGTTTGTTTGGTTGGTTGTTTTTTTAGACAATGTGTCATGATATAACCCCAATTGGCTCGTGACTCACTATTTAACCAGGCTAGCCTCAGACTGACAGGGACCTGCTTGATATTGCCTCCTGAGTGCTAAAAGGTGTGTGCCACCATACCTGGCTTATTTGATTTCTTTTAAAGTGTTAAACCTTGAAAAGTACTCAACCATAAAGGTTTTGGACTAAGAGGCCATGGGTAAAATGGCAGCCATGCTTTCTCTACCGTCCACATTTCCTGCTACTTCTAGTTTGACGCTTTCTTACCCTTAGACCACAACAATTGCTTTTGTCTTAGCATCCAAGATGGCCGTAGAAGCTGTAGCTATGACACTTGCATTCCACACGATGCGATGCAAGGAAGGAAAGAGGGAAGAGACAAAGTTAACCTGTGTGCTGGTTCAAAGATTCTAGAGAAACTGCCATTTGTTTCCACAACAAGTTGAAGAGAATGGGTAATCAAATATTCATCTATGGAAAACCCTGTACTAAGGGAAAGGCTGGAGAATGTAAGTTGGAGGTCAGCCTGCTAGCCTGGGCTACCTAGTAAGAGAGCTTGTTTTTAAAAGGAGGAGAAGGGCGGGGAGCTCTATGGTTAGTGAAGTGGTTCTGTTAACGGGGGTGGATATGGAGAGAATAAATTCTGGAAGATAGACTTTTTTTTTCTCACTTAGAGAAAAGTTCCTTGGGGACTGCATTCATTAACTTTTTGTCAACTTGTATCAACAAGCTAGGGCTATCTGCAAAGAGGGAACCTTGATTGGGAAAATGTTTCCATCAAATTGGTTGGTAGCAAGTCTGTGCAATGTTTTCTTCATTAATGACTCTTGTGTGAGGGTCTAGCCCTCTGTAGGTGGTGCCATCCCTGAGTAGATGGTCCTGGGTCAAATGAAAAAGCAAGCTGAACTAGCCACTGAGGGCAAGCTAGTATATAGCACTCCTCCATAGTCTCTGCTTTAGTTCCTGGCTTCAAGTTCCTGCTTTGAGTTCCTGCCCTGATTTCCATCAATGATGGACTGTAATGTGGAAGTATAAGATGAAATAAACCCTTTCTCCAGGTTGCATATGCTGCATGTTTTATCACAGCAACAGAGAAGCCAACCAGGCAGTATAAATGAGAATGGCCTTGAACTCTGGATCCTCTACTTCCACCTCCCAACCGTTGAGATTGTAGGCTGACACCATCACGCCCAGTTTTAAGTGCTTGATACCGATCCCAGGATTCATGTATGCTATGTAATCACTGTACCAACATTCCCAGGCCTTATGAGACTTTTTTTGTTTTTGTTTTTTTCAAGACAGGGTTTCTCTGTGTAGCCCGGGCTGTCCTGGTACTCACTCTGTAGACCAGGCTGGCCTCGAACTCAGAAATCCACCTGCCTCTGCCTCCCAAGTGCTGGGATTAAAGGCGTGCGCCACCACCGCCCGGCTCCGAGACTTTTTGTATAAACAAGATTTGCACTTTTCATAGAGTAAATATTCAGGAGCACAACTAAGTAGTTGAATGGTAATTGTATGTATGTTTTATAAGAAATTACCAAACCATTTGTAGAATTTTATGTTTTTACCTGGGCACTATTCGTCTATAGAAATGTAATTGATTCTTCAGTATTTCCTATGTAGATGACTATGTATTTTTCTTTCTGATCTGTGTGCTTTTTTTATTACAGGGGTTAGGATTTCTAGTATTTCAGTGAAGGAGTGGTCAGTGTGTCTATCTTGGGCTTGTTTCTTTTAGGGAGGAAATATGTACTGTCAGGGTAGATGTACCTTGTTTCGTTTTTCAACACAGGGTTTCTCTGTGTAGTCCTGGCTGTCCTGGAACTCTCTCTCTGTAGATCAGCATGGCCTTAAACTCACAGAGGTGTACCTGCCTCTTCCCCCCCTGGGATTAAAGGCAGGAGCCACCGCCTGCCTCCTCACCAGGCTTTGTTTGCTAAATTGTGACAGAGCTGCCCCTTTGTCTCCTAATTCACTCTAGTAGAGCTAGTAATTGAGTCTTGCTATGGAGGGTTTATCACAGGAGTGTTGGTCTCATTTTCACTTGTCTTAAGAAGCACACACTTTCTGACAAACGGAGTCAGAAGCTGGGTGTGTGGCGCACTGCTTTAATTCCAGCCCTCAGGAGGCAGAGGCAGGTGGATCTTTGAATTTGAGGCTAGCCTGGTCTACAGAGTGAGTTCCAAGACAGCCTGGGCTAAACAGAGAGACTTGGTCTCAAAAAAAAAAAAAAAAAAAACAAAATTAAACCAAAATGAAACAAAGCAACAATAACAGAAGTCATAGTGAGAAAGGGAGCTGGACCTGCATATTTGCTTCCTGAGTAAAAGGAGGCTTTACTCCTGCCCCAGAGGTGTTGCGGGAGTGGCTGCTGTGTGCATCAGAAGGTGGCAGGGAGGAGAGAGGAGGCTATGTCCGCACTTAGTGTTAGACCTACAAACACCTGAATGATTAGTAACCCTGAAATAAGCAAACCGGAGGCAACCATACAGAGAGCTAGCCTGAGACTACCATCAGTCTGGTATCAGGCAGGCCCAAACAGGCTCCCAGGCTGGGGAGCAAGACAGAGACAGGAAGAACCCCATCTGGGACTGTAGCCCTAGCCAGGAGTGAGCTGGATGCAGACAACTCTCCCATGGAGCCACTTGGGCTGGCCAGACAGGGAGCTAGCCTGAGATGACCACCAGTGTGATGCCACACAGGCCTGGAGCACAGACCATACCTGGGTTGATCTCTGCCCAGAGCCATAATACACTAGCAGGGCAAAGCACTCCCGACACTACTCTTGAGATGACCTCAGACACTCAGAGATCCTGGGCAGCACAAAGAGGAACAAGTAAGTGGTGAAGAGATGGAAGAGAAACAGAAACAAGGATGTGGGCACAGTGAAGACAGGTAGAACTGGAGACACAAGGGTAGTGAGGGACAGACTGATGTGAGCAGCTGGTGATGCCACCTGGGACCATGGTGGGGTCCTGGTCTGTATTGTCACCAGGGTCCATATCTGGGTCCATGGTCCTGGAACAGCAGGAATCTGTTACTGCCAAAGGCCAGGAAGATGTCCCTGGTCTAGGCTGCCTCTTGGGAATATGTTGATACCTGAGGGCTGTATAGAACTGGCCCCACCCCTCACTGAGCATCCTGGGAGAGCTGGCCCTAGAGGTAGAGAGCAGGAGAGCTGACTCCACCTCTAGCTGGCGTCAGTAATTGGGAGAGCGGCCCCCTGCACATGGCTGGAATATGGGTAAGCCAGTGATGAGGGTACCAGTGTGGGGGGGACTGACTCTAACACTCATCTCAAGTGAGGCAATGTAGCTGAGGAAGAGATACCCTCTCTACTGCCTCTTTGCCACTCATAACCTGTAGCAGGTAGGAGACCTGGTCCTTGGGGTCAGGAGAGCAGAAAAGCTGGCTCTGTTCCTCACCATCTGCAGCACTTGGGAGAAAGGGCTCTAGACCTTGCCTGGGCAGCACAGTAGAGCTGACCCTGGATGTGGGGGTTGAAGTTGAGCCAGCCCCGAGGGCGTGTTTGAGAGCTGGTCCTCTTGTCTGCTGTGCAGTAGGGTCAGTGAGGGAGAGATCTCCTTTCCTCCTGTTTGTCCTTGTCATCAGTCACCCTAGCCCCAGTCATGAGAACAGATCTGGCCCCACCCCTCATCTGCTGCAGCACTAGGGAGAGCTAGCCATATCTTACCTGGGCAGCACAATAAAGCTGGCAATGAATGTGGGGGTCACATGTGAACAGGCCCTGAGGGGGAGTGTGGGAGAATCCACCTTGCCTCTTGTCAGCAGTGCAGCGGTGTCTGCAGGACATCCCCTCCTCTCCCATGGAGGGCAGGAGAGCTTGACCCCGGGTCATGAGAATGGGAGAACTAGCCATGTTCCTCACCAACTGAAACTCTCTGGAGAGAAGGCCTTGCACCTTACCTGGGCAGTAGGGTAAGGATGACCCTGGTTGTAGGGGATGCGGAGCTTGCTGGTGAACCAGCCCTGAGGGTGAGAGCTGGCAAGCTGACAATCTCAGATACCTCTCTGGCCCAGAGTGGTTCTGGCCTGTAACCTCAGAACTCAAAGAAGCAGAAGATGAGTTTGAAGATAAGAATTACAGAGGAAGTCCCCATCTCAAGAAACCAACAGTTAGAATGTAGTTCAGTGGAAGAGCACTTGCCTAATGCATATGGGCTAGGTTTTATTTCTAGTATTGAAAAGAAATTAAACCAATTAAATTTCATCCCTACTTGATCTGAATTAAAGCTAACAAGTTTCCTTAAAAAGAGTGAAATAAGAAATGTTATAGCACTATCTATAGACAATACTCATAAGCATTCAGTGACTTCATTCTCACTGATTGGTCAGTGTTGGGAAGTTCACAGATGTCAGGAGCAGTATTTGGAAGGACAGTCTAGCAAGAGTGCTCTATAACAAAGACAATACTGCTTGGAGCCTCTATTTTTCTCCATTATAGAGAGCAATTTATTTAAGAGGTGCTATTTTTTTCCTTCCAGAAACGATTTAAACTGTCATGATTTTGATACTGCATTGAGCTTTGCACCTTTAAAACACATGCTTTTGCCGGACAGTGGTGGTGCATGCCTTTAATCCCAGCACTTGGGAGGCAGAGGCAGGCGGATCTCTGAGTTTGAGGCCAGACTGGTCTACAGAATGAGTTCCAGGACAGCCAGGGCTACACAGAAAAACCCTGTCTTGAAAAAACCAACCAACCAACCAAAAAACCCCACATGGTTTTTGGTAAACTGGTTTTATACAAAGGATGGCACAATTATGTAAACAAACCCAGAGGCTTTGTATTTCCTTTTTGGAGGGGCTGTGTCTAATTGCTACAGTCCACATTGCCTTTTATTTCCTTTTACTTATATGCAGCAATCCAGTTTTCCTGTGTCCATGAACATTTCAAATCCAATTATGGGCAATGTAAAAATCAAACTGCCTTTCCACAGAACTGTCTCCTTAAAGAGTTAGTCATATTTTTTAGATATTTTTTTTCAGAGTAGTTGGCTTGAAGTGCACGCAATGACACAAACCAACATTACACACACAAGTAAATCCATCTCACACTTTTATTTACAAATTAGCTCTACACACAAATTACTAAGCATGGAAAAAAAGTTCACAGCTTCCATTTTTTTTTGTTTGTTTTTCGAGATAGGGTTTCTCTGTGTAGCCCTGGCTGTCCTGGAACTCATTCTGTAGACCAGGCTGGCCTCGAACTCAGAGATCCCCCTGCCTCTGCCTCCCAAGTGCTGGGATTAAAGGCATGAGCCACCACTGCCTGGCTAACAGTTTCCATTCTTTACATTAGAAAAATAAATTATTTTACTAGTTTCTCAGATCTGCTTCCTGCCTTCAGAGATTAAGGTACTACATACACATATTTTCAACCTTTTTTTTTAAAGGTTTTTCCGAGACAAGGTTTCTCTGTGTAGTCCTGGCTGTCCTGGAACTCACTCTGTAGACCAGGCTGGCCTCAAACTCAGAAATCCGCCTGTCTCTGCCTCCCAAGTGCTGGGATTAAAGGTGTGCACCACCACTGCCCAGCTTTGTTTTTAATCTTTACACAGAAAAACTGACACCATTTTACATAGATTGCAAATAGTATCTTAGGAAGTTAGAGTAACTACTTGTAGGAAATGAACTTCATACAATATAAAATTCTTAAGAATTCTATAGTTTTTATAATTATATTATGGCAAATCTGAAAATACACAGCATAAAACATGAACTATTTACAATTTGGTAAACAATTACATAAGGATAACATTTTTTTTTACAATTTTACTTTAAAATTTTCTGTGGGTGAATATTTTGTTTGCAATTATGTTTATGCACAACTATGGGCAAGCCATGCCCATGGAGGCCAAGAAAGGACACTGGGTCTTTCAAAACTGGAATTACATATGGTTGGCTGTGAGCTGTCAAGTGGGTGCTGGGAACCAAACTCAGATGCTATGCAAAAACACCATTCTTCTTTATTGTCGAGCCATCTCTCGGGCCCCAATGAAGAACAACTTTACAATGGTCAGAAAAGAGTATTTTTCATATTCCAGAAAGGTGGCTTTATTCCCACTATACTTTATGCTACTTCTGTATACTTGAAGAGGTAGTAGAGACGGTGCCCAGTTATTTGACTCTCTGTTTTTTTCTGGCTTGGAACTGCTCTGTTTTGTTCTTCACAGATTTAATCAGCATGGACAAGGCGGGATCCATGGGTTTGTTTTTTGCTGGCTTTCCCATGTCCTGCTGTGCTCTCTCTACTGTTTGAATAAGCAGTTCCTCTTTCCGTTCTCGTTGCCGAGCTTTCTCCTCCAGAATTTTTTCCATAGCTTTTGTTTTCTTGAAATTAGGATCAGAGGGATCCAAATTGAACAAGTGGGAAGTGTACATTGCCTGAAACCGTGCGTCACTGACATTTACCTGCAAATTCAAAGAGAACAAACATGTAAATAGACGCAGAGAGCACAAGTGCACACTCTGTGCACTGAGGCATTAGAACCAATTTCTGTCATCTCAACGAGGTTTTCTGCTTGTTACTCAAGACAAGGTCTGTCTTTTTTAGTCTATGCTGAACTGGAACTTGCTGCTTTTGAACACAGGATCCTCCTGGCCTTGGTCTCCTGAGAACTGGGATTATAGGCGTGTGCCACTATATTCAGGGCAGACCCAGTGGAATTTTAAGGCCTGCCCTTTAATAACAAGGTCACCTTGGGCAGCTTAGCCAAGCCCTGTTTCAAAATATAATGCAAAACAGTAGCTGCAGATGTTGCTCAATGGTACAGGGCTTGTCTAAACCCGTGATGCTTTACCTCAATCACCCCAGGATCACAGTGAAAAAAACAAAATAAAACAAAGAAATCCACCCCCGAGTCCAAGATTTGGTAAGATACAAACTCCAGATTTATCCTCTATGTTTCTACAAAAAGTACTATGGTTCTACCTTAAAAAGTGTACCTTTAATCCAGCCAGGCTTAGGAGTGAACAACAAAAAAATACCTGAGTCCACTTAGTTATAGTGATACTGACAGACACCATACCAAAAATAACAAAGGAACTCTCATGAAATTTCAGTGTGTGAGGACATGTGTATGTGCAGGTGCCTGTGCCTGCAGGTGCCTGAGGTTGATGTCAGGTGTCTTCCTCTATGTTCTCTACCTTATTTTTTGAGACAGTTTCTCTCATTGAAGTGAGAGGTCATCAACTGGCTGGCTGTCAGCCGGCCCCTGGGATCCTTCTGTGTCCATTCCCTGTAGCTCTGGGGTTATAGAAATGTGCTGCTGCTCCTAGCTTTTATGTGAGTACTGGGATCCAAACTCAGGTCTTGGGATTGCTCAGCAAGTTCTTATCCACTGAGCCAGCTCCACAGTCCTCAGGCAAAAACTTAAAAAAGATTATCTGTGTGGTATTGTAGAGGTTAGAGGCCAACATGTGGACGATGGGGAATGAAACTCGGGTTGTCAGATTTGGTGGTAAGTGCCACTACTGTATTATCAGATCCATGAAAAACAGTTAATACTTGATTACTCATGCATGAAGACAGAGCTCATAATAGGAAATTATTCTTTGCTTTTTTCATGAGAAGAATAATTTATCAGAAACTTCACAGAAACACAAACATATATGAAAAGGTAGAACAGTAGTGGTCTTGCAATCCTTCTACATACTACAAAGAAGTTAGTTTATGGCCTTCCATCCACTTTGACACAATTCAAAACTCATCCATCTTTTTTTTTATTCTAAATTTGCTAGTGGAAACTGTCAACTTCTAGTGGATATTTTAAAGTTTTTTATGGAGGGCTCGCACTCATGCATATGGCCATTAGCACCACACACTCAGCATTAGAACACTGATGAGTGACAGCAACAATATACTCAGAAATTAAAAAGCATGGCCCACAAGTTGGCTACTGTCAACAGCGAGTGAGGCCTGCCATGTTACCTCTTCATGCTCAGCTGACTATCACATGAGCATCACCGTTTCTGGTTTTAACATTTAAAGGCTAGAGATTTTTGGTTTAGCATGGCTACCACCTTTAGGGTAACTATCTCATTTAGTGCTCAACCAGAGAACAGTGGTGTGATCCACTCTGAGATGAACTGTTAGATTAAAGGACAGTCACTTTGTCACCTTTACAGGCCTTGATAAGAGCTTTCTGAGGGTAACTTCATGCCTATCTCCAGAGTGACTGTGATTTAACTCTACCTTCAAGAAACCAACAAAGCTTGTAGACAGGAGCCTAGCATAACTGTCCTCTGAGAGGCTCCACCAGCAGCTGACTGAGACAGATGCAGAGCCACAGCCAAATGTTGGTGGGGTTTGGGGAATCTTATGGAAGAGTTGGGGCAAGGACTGCAGGACTCAATGAGGACAGGAACTCCACAGGAAGACCAATAGAGTCAATTAACCTGGACCCTTGGGGCTCTCAGAGACTGAACCACCAATCAAAGAACACACAGGGGCTGGACCCAGGTCTCCTGTACATATGCAGCAGATGTTCAGCTTGGTCTTCATGCGGGTCCCCAACACCAGGAGCTGGGCCTATCCCTAAAGCTGTTGTGTACCTGTGGATCCTATTCCTCTAACTGGGCTGCCTTGTCTGGTCTCAGTGGGAGTTTGCTCCTAGCCTGTAGAAACTTGATGTGCTAGAGTGGGAGATACCGAGGGGGACCCTCCACCTTCTCAGAGGAGAAGGGGAGAGGGCATAGGAGAAGGATTGTGTGAAGGGGGGGGGGGGACAAGATGTAAAATAAATAAATAAGTAAATTAATGGAATAAGAAAGATGCTATATAATAACTTGTGCTGCCAGTTACCTCAAAGTCATCCTCAATTAACTCTTTCTTTTTCATAAGCTGTTTCTTCTTCTTTTTGCTCAGATTCTGGTGCTCCACAATCTTGTCATAATTGAAGTGTTTCTTGCTGTCTTCTTCCTCATCCATTACAAGTAAAGCCATCTCAGCCTACGGGAGGAAAACAAACAAAAACTACAAATGTACAGCTGAATTTTCCCCAGTTGATGTTCTGAGAATTGTTTATACTCAATGAATGGAGCTTAGGAAGAGGCCCAAGATACACAGCTTAAGTTCATTCCAGGCTGTGATATGAGAATTAGCTACAAGGAAGAAATAGCCTTTATTCAAAAGACAGGCTTCCATTCCTGTAGAGTAACCTGATTAGCAGGCAGAAGGAATCAGAGCCCCAGGTCTGTCAAATACATTTCATCTTCACCTTGTTCTTTTTAAGTAATGACTTGAAATTTACTTTGTGATACAAATTATAGTTTCCAGATGTGTACTTTAGCAATTAGGAAAATTCTTTTGCTCTTTTTCCCTTGCCTCTTTCAATATTGATGTACTTTCATGAGGCAGACTCAGCATTTGCTTCTGAGGCTAAGCATCCGTTTCCACTAACCATAAGACCCCAGACAGTCAGCTAAACAAGCACTAGGCACTAGAGACAACACACATGAGACAGCACATTCCAGAGCTCCACATCTCCCTGTATGACACACAGGATGCTTTATTCCTCTCCTTCCATCACTGGCACTCACATGGGACTTCCTTATAGAGTCAAGTTCCATGAGCGGATCTTTAAGTAGCTTTATGAGTGCTATCTATACGTAACGGATAGAGAACAGAAAAATGCACTAAGCTGAACAGCTTAGATGGCCAGTCAAGGCTCACTCCCAGAGTGACATGGGAACTGATGACCCTGCAGAAGTACATGTGACCTTGGAGTTTTGGAATCACTAGGTTATACATAAATATCACTGCATTTCTAATGAAGACTTAACCATTTGTATATTAAACTTACAATCACTAATAATAAACGAGAAATTAGCATTTGACAAGCTGTATAACAGAAACTGTAGTATAGGGCAGATTCAAATAGAATCAAGGGATATGAAAATACTACTTTTAAGGTTTTAATATGTCTCAGTCATATTATAGGGTGTGAATGAGAAAATCTTTTAGTCATAAAAGCATATACTCTTAAGTTCATATTAGCTGCAGAAATAATGTTTGGTTAATGGCAACATTTAAAAATTATGTGGCTAAGATATTTGTGCATCTTATGTGTTTACAAAATCCACTTGAAAAATCAGTTTTAAAATTAGAGACAATGAAAACTCAAGTGAATCACATCATTTCAACTGCACATATTAATCATCAATTAACACTCAACAATGACCATGGTGACTACCTTTTGTTTTTCTAGTTCAGTTTCTTCCTCTGAAGATGCACTGTCTTTTGCAGATTTCATTGATTTTTTCTTGATACCTGGTACAGCAAGCCAACACACAAGGTTAAAGACAGGCTCAACAGTGAAAATTTGTTTATACTATGAACAAAACGCAAAATATCTAGAAGTAATCTTTTTTTTTTTTTTTTTGGTTTTTCGAGACAGGGTTTCTCTGGGAAGCCCTGTCTCTCCCGGGCAACACACTCTATAACAGGAAAGCCAGGACATCCATAGAACTCAAAAATCAGCCTGTCTCTGCCTCCCAAGTTCGTGCGCCACCTCCGCCCGGCATAGACTTTGTTTCTTTTGTGTGTCTAAGTGTGAGGAGTTCAAAAATAGATGAAGGTGATGAATATGAAAGATCAGTTAGAATGTCTGGTTAGTTTAGAATGTTTCTTCAACTTTGGTTCTCTGTGAGCCACGGGACACCATCTTTTGAAAAACTGCTTTTTGTTCCACTGAATAGAAATCGACAAAGATTGTGGGAATGTAGCTCAGTTGGTAGAGTGCTTGCCTAGCATGCAAAAGTTCTGGACTTGATCCTCAACACAACACAAAAGCAGGCATGGTGGGTCAATTTATGCCTGTAACTGAAGCACTCAGCAAGTGGAGGTAAAAGGTTATCCTTAGCTACACAGGGAGTTAGAGCCAACTTAAGCTATAGGAGACTTCATCTCCAAACAAACAAAACCAAAAAGGACCCACGCAGTGGTTTGAATGAGAAAGTCCTTTGTAGTCTTAGGCATTTGGTCTCCAGTTGGTAGTGCTGTTTGAGGTTGGCTAGCTATGGCATTATACTGGCAACGGCTTTGAGTGTTTGCAGTCTCACCTCACTTCCAGTTAATTATCTCTGCTTCATGCTTATGGTTCAAGATGTGAGCCCTCAGCTTCCTGTTCCTGCCACCATACCGACTGCCTCCGCCCTGCTTTTATGGTCTCCAACCTTCTGGAGCCATAACCCACACCAAACTCTCTCTTCTATTAGTTGTCTTGGACATGGTGTGTTGCTGTTATTATTTAAAACGGCTGCTGGTCAAGCTGACTATCTAAGCTGCAGCAGCTCTGCCTAGCTCAGCCGCCATGTTCCATGGCCAGAGGCCACGTGTGTGCCACAGCTAGAAACTGCCAGCCAGAAACACCGGCCCTGCCACCCACAAGATGCCAGTGTGGGAGACGGCTCTGCCAATCTTCCATGCTGTCTCCACAAGGCTGGGCTGTGCCCAGACCATCCTGCCATCCATGCGGGCCCAGTAGGAATGAGACTCTAATGCTTAGATTAATCAAAGGCTTTATATATTTGGTAATGCTCAATAACAAGATGCCCATACAATTAGAGGTGTAACCCAATACCCAACCTAGATATATCAACAGATGGTATAATATAGTTGACTTTCATGGTGGTTTATAAAGTACTTAAAGATGGCAAAGCAGAGATACACCTCCTTTTCAACTGACCTTCAATGGCCCTTTTACTGCAAAACTAGGTTTCTTAGTTCTTACCAGGTATTTTCAATGTGCTTTCTCTGCAGGAATCAGCAGTATGTTAAAAGATATACCAGATCATGCCACTTTCTTGCTTTAGGGTTTTCTATAGTCAACAATAAACTCCCAACTTTCTGTCCTGACAGAAAGGTCTGCAGGTCACTTCCCATTAGATCTTCTTCATCTTAGCTCCACACAGAACTTCCTCTCTAGCCATGTCTTTCAATTCATCCAACACTGCACAAAATGTTCTTTCTCACATTATACCCTTTTCCCTCCTATGCAATGCTCTTCCCCTAGCACTGTATGCCCAAGGTCTTAGCTCAAATAGCACTACCTCAATGGAGCCTTCTTTGCCTATCCTAGTTTTAGGACATACTCACTTTATCCTTCTCTTCCTAGTTGTATTCTCTGTACTAATCTATTTCTTTTAAAACATTTTTCACACTCCTATAATCTTGTTTCTATATTCAGTTCCTCATTTCTAAAACCAGAATTCATGAAGGATTCTGTCTTGTCTATAGTATTGCTATAGCTCTAGCCTATCAGACTACACAGAGCTTATCACAATATACATCAACAACTTTTCAAACCAAACTGAAACAATTCTTATGAAGCATTAAAAAATAAACACATTGAAAACAAATTCTACCTATATTGTTCTCCCAGAATGTTTGACACTAACATTAGAGAAAGCTTATATTCAATTTAAATGTGCTGTCTTTAAGAAATCGGATATAGGGCTCGAAAGATGGCTCAGTGGTTAAGAGCACTGACTGCTCTTCCAGAGGTCCTGAGTTCAATTCCCAGCAACCACATGGTGGTTCACAACCATCTGTAATGGGGTCTGATGCCCTCTCCTGGTGTGTCTGAAGACAGCTACAGTGTATTCACATATATAAAATAAGAAATAAGCTACTTCATGCTATTGAATCATTTAGGATAGTCTTTGAATCCTGCTCTGTGTTCTGCAATTTGACCACATTACATATGTCAAATGAAGCACTTTGGATATATTACAAGGAAACTTTAATGTTTCACATCTCTCCATAATAAACTTATCCATCAGGTAAGTCAGGAAATTGTTCACCAAGTAAAGTCTGTCTTCTCTTTAAAATGCCAGCTTGGAGTTCCTCAAAGAGCAAGCCTTTGTAAGCGCATGTGTGTGTCATAAAGATGAGGGGAAGACAAGCACACAAGAGCAGTGTGTTTCTGCCCAAGCATGACTTGCCCAAGCATGGCCTCAACCATACCGAACGCATTCATATCCATCTAAAGGTAAGAATGAAAGCATCTGAAAGCATGAGGTAGAAGCACATGGAGCCAAGACTCCTTGGATACAGGAAGTAGGACATCTTAGTTTAAGAATTAGAAGAAAAAGGGAGCTGTGAGAAAAGCTGTGTTTTTTACATTTAACAAGGATAAATGCAAGAAAGAATTAAATAGTAAGCATAGGTACATTTGTATATTTGAACAGAAAAGGCTATTTATTATACTGTATTTCCATGTATACATTTAAGAATTACATACATGCCATGACAAATCCATTTCACCTTTAATTCTTTATTTGAAAAGAGTCAACATGTCCCCTGTACATAGAAAATATAAAAAATGCCTTTGCAGAAAGAAGTAGAAGTATTGTAATGCAGGATTATTCCTCATTCTAAATAACATCATTCTTTTAGAGTCCATCTAGCTAGCTATAAAGATAATTTCCAGAAAAGAGCCCTTATTAAAATGTTAAACTCACTGTTATTAAAAAGTCTCCTAATGAGGGAGCTGTAGAGATTGCTTAGCAGTCAAGATTATTTGTCTATTTTCCCCCATCCCCAAGAGTATTTGTTGCTCTTGGATAAGACCAAGGTTAGGTTCTTAGCACCTACATGGTAGCTCACAACTATCTATAACTAGTTCCAGGTACTCTGACATCCTCTTCAGACACCTCATGCATGTGATGCACATACATGTAGGCAAAGCAGCTATACACACAGCATAACAATAAAGGTATCCTTTTAAAGTCTTTTATAATGGCATTTTTAATATTTTCTATGTAGAGGGGACACATTGACTCTTTTCAATGATTTATATGACTGAACAGAATAGGTTATAAAAACATTAACGGAGCTGTCCAAATTCTAGAAATTTTCAGAGAATTGTTAGTTTGTATTATTTCAACCCATATCATCCTTTTCTTGGATTCCAACAGAAAATTACAAATACAGACTGTCTTACCTATTTTTTTAACTTCTTCAGCAAAGTAGGGGTCATTTAAATCAACATCAGAAGGAAGCTCATCTTCACTGGCTTCTTCAGCAAGAGCCTTAAGGTGAAAAACAGCAGTGATTAGCAATACCTTAAAGTCACACATGAAAGGTTATTTCAAGTACTTAGAAAATCTGTTTTCTGGTTAAGGAAAATGCTTTCGATTACAAAATTTTAAAACATAAATTGACACTCTGTTCCTATATTCTGTTTAAAACTGATCTTGGATTTGGGAGAAGGCTTAGTGGTTAAAAGCCATCACTACTTTGTCATAAAGAGCAGAATTCTTATACCAGTACCTGTGTCAGGTGGCTCACAACCAGCTGTAACTCCAGCTTCACTTCTGGGTTCTAAGGACCTATTTGTGTACCTGTATATACACACACATACTTATACACATATACTTACACACACACACACACACAGTTTTTTTTTTTTTTGGTTTTTCAAGACAAGGTTTCTCTGTGTAGCCCTGTCTGTCCTGGAACTCACTCTGTAGACCAGGCTGGCCTCGAACTCAGAAATCCGCCTGCCTCTGCCTCCCAAGTGTTGGGATTAAAGGTGTGTGCCACCACTGCCCGGCTCACACACACTGTTTTAAAGGCCTGGCATGGTGGCCTAAAACCACAGAGGAAGCAGAGGCAGACAAATTCAAATTTTCTTTGAGTTCAGCTTAGTCTACAAAACAAGTTAGTTCCAAGCAAGCCAAAGATACTTTCTGAGACTGTTTCCAAAACAAAACAAAACAAAACAAAACAAAACAAAACAAAACAAAACAAACAAAACATACCTTGTTTTATCTGTGGTCTATCACTCAATGTAAACTACCAGTCTATTTTAAATAAGTCGAAAGCTAAAATTTCCCTAATATAACTTGAACAGACTATCTACATTGTATTGGTATATTTAATTAATGCATAAGACCATAAAGCAAAAATATCTGAACTGAGATCAGACAAAACAGACTGGGTTTATTTCCAAGAATCTAAAACATCTGTCATTGTAACAAACATTCTTAGAATATATTCATCCTGGACACAAAATGATCCACTAAATTTTAAAGGCACTGAGGAGTCAGAGGACATCTAATGCTATTATCAAGTCTGGTGCAGAACAACTAGTCTAGCAGACACTAATTACTTGTATGTATTTTAAATGCTGTTAACAAGTCCAGATCTTCTCTTGGCTGCTCTTTCTCCCTCTGGCACTTGCCAAACCCAGGAGCCTTCATCTATAGACCCTCTAGCCAAGTCCTGGTAATGAGGTGACACTGGTACATGGCATAATCCCTTCCAACTCTGGTTTAGGCCTGCTTGTACAAGATCCAGCCTTCAAACTCAGCCAGGCCTGCACCCTATGCATGTGCTCTGGCTCACTCTGGAGAACCCACCTGACCTCACTGTGACCATAGTACCCTCTTTAATTCCCAGGCTGAACCACAACCAGAGCCCCACTCAAGCCTTTCCTAACTCCCAGGTATCAGCTTGACCTGCTGTGTTGACATTAGATACATGAACAACATAAGAAGCCCACACTTCCAGGTTTCATTGCACAAGAAATATGAAAGGTCAAGAGAGTATGTTCTCTCAAATCTACCAGACCTATAGAAGTGTTCTACAGTGAGCATTGCCTGGATGAACTCCAGAACTGTGGTGGTTTAAATATGCTTAGCCCAGGAAGTGGCACTATTAGGAGGTGTGGCCTTGTTGGCTAGGTATGGTCGTCTTGTTGGAAGAAGTGTGTCACGGTGGAGGTGGGCACTGAGACCCCCTTCCTAGCTGCCTTGAAGAGAGTTCTTGCCTGGCTGCAGCTGGTTCAAGATGTAGAAGCTCCTTCCCTAGCACCATGCCTGCCTGGATGCTGCCATGCTCCTGCCATGACTGATAACAGACTGAACCTCTGACACTGTAAACTATCCCTAATTAAATGTTGTCCCAATATAAGATTTGCCTTGGTCACAGTGTCTCTTACAAGGTCACAGAACAGAACAAACATAAAACTAATTAAAAAAAAAAAAAACTCAAGAAGTTTAGAGACACAACCAAAATCAGTGAACTCAAAAAAATTAAAATGTTTGTGTGGTACCTAAGAAAATACAAACATAAGGCTGAAATGGCATGATAAAAACAATTCAGGTTTTTAGAAAAGAGATAGAAATACTGAAGAGACCTCAAGATGAAATGAAGGTAGAATTAGAAAACTTAGTGAAAAGCTTTACAAGTAAAATTGATAGAATATAAGATAAACTATATTTTATAGGTTACCTACATATCTATATATCTATACACACACACACACACACACACACACACACACACTCACACACCCCTGAACCAAAAAACAAAATATAGGAAAAGAACTGTGGGACCCATGAAAGACCAAATCTTTTAATTTAAGACATAGATGATCCCAGGTCAATGGCATAGACAAGTTGTTTTAAAGGATCATAGAAGAAAACTTTCAAACTAAGGAAAGATAAGTCTAAGAAGCACATCTGTTTACACCAAATAGACGAGAACATAAGTACAACTCTCCACAATATTA